TTTTTTTTTTTTTTTTTTTTTTTTTTTTTTTTCATAAAAATTAACTCTTCGCTTTGGTGGTCGGAGATTGTTATTTCACAGCTTTTATTAACAATTATTAGAAAAATTTATCACGGAGAAAATTTTTTCTATCTCGATCACACACAGTTTAAACTTGGAAATTTAATCTGGAAGTTAATTGAACGGGGGAGAAAGGATTATTATTAATCGAAAAGAAAAGAATATTTGCCCGTGCTACATAGCATAGTGTTACAAAGTTATCATTTTATTATTCATTTAACGTTTTATTGATTTTAGTGAACGGCACGTATTATCTTGTAATAATAACTTTAAGAGTGTACAGGCAAAAGGTTAATACGTGTATACGGTTGAAAGAATGACGAATCCGTTGAAATTCCGGGGAGGAAAGGAATTTTTATTGGATATTCAAGAATTTATTGCACCTTGAGAAAAGTCGTTATCGAACCTCCTTATATCCGAACTTTTTAAAAAGTTTGAATAATATTTGAATAACGATGCAACGAATCCTACGAATATCGATTTTTCCATTATCCAATATAAAAGGGAGGGGTGGGGGGGGGTGAAAAAAAAGGAACCCGGATTATCGAGTCGATTTCGAATAAAAGTAAACAACTTTAATTAATCGTTCGAATAAATTAATCAAAAAAAAAAAAAAAAAAAAAAAAAAAGGAACAAACAAGAAAGAGAAACGAGAGATCGACGATAAAATTCGATATTAATCGTAACGTTATCACGGATATCCGGTTGGCCATATAATATATAGTACGGTAAATACTTTCACGATGCATCGAGTGCACGCCAAGTGGAAGTGCACCGTGTGCAAATATTTTTATCTCCCAGAGTGCAAACACCGTGTCGAGTGTCCGCTTTGCTCTCCATCTGTCGTAGCCGGATTATCGCTGTTACAGTTTCCATGGTGGAATCCGCATAATCGATCGAACTCTTCGATTTTCGGGGGACAGGATCTCCATTAAAAAAATTCAGTTTCTTCTTCCAATTCAACACTTTATCATCAACGATTATACATATATATATCAAAGGACACATAGAAACTCGTGCATCTGTGCTACATTCGATCCTACATAGATGGAAAGATATTCTTGTGATTTTTTTCTTTAATTCTTCAATTTTTTCCTCTCCAAGCATAAGAAAGGAAAACACAATAATCGATATACAAATAATAAGAAATCGAGAATTTCGCGACAATTGCGAAATACTCAAAAAATATATCGAAGAATCTGTTGCCAAGGTTCAATTCGAGATTATTCAAAAAATGATCTCGTTACCTCGATCCGCCGATGAAGTGTGTTCAACAATTCGACTTTATTTCGTTACTCGAGAATTCGTTGCCAAGTTCAAGGATAGTTTTCGATTCTTCTCGAGGAAGAAGAATTTCACGGCTTACGAAACGGCCACGCGTCTCGAATACGCAAAATCGTAATTTGGTAAATGTATTGGCGCGATGCTGATTGCGGAGAAGAGGAGGGGAGGAGGGCGCACGTTAATTACGAGCGCGAAAATGGTGGGCAGACGAGATGTTTACGAGGTTGTGGCGAGCAATTACGCTTTAACGGCCGCCATGAAGCCTTCGCGTTTGCCAACCGCGTTCTTGCGTAATTCTTGTTTTCGTGACGTCATCAGGTAATAGCAGGTAGTAGCCTTCGTCTTTTCTTTCTTCCTCTCGCGGAATCAATTTTCTTCCTTTTTTTTTTTTTTTTTTTTTTATTAGGAAAAATTGGAGTCAAATTGGAGACGATTCGATTGGATCGATTCTGGTTACGTTGGAAGAAATTTGTGTGAAATTTGTGAATTTAGAAATTCGATTCATTATGAAATTGATCGCGAAAGTTTGACGGTAATTTGAAAGGGATGACGATGAATGAAATTGTAATGGCGCAATGGATGTGAAAGATATTCTTGGCAAGTATCAAAGGGATTAGGGATTTTAGATTCAATGATAAAAATTGCCTCTTTTGTAAAATTTACTTATTTACCCGCCCATATCTTTTTACGACTTTGTGTAATGATACTCAATCTCACTGGATGACTCTTGGTTAATTAGTATGTTGCGCAGACTCTTGAGAATTTAATAGGATTGTTGACAGGAAAACGTCTTAAGTGACAAGAAATGTACGTATTTCTAAATATTATCATTATCGAATTCCAGTGTTAACGCGATAATAAAGCTCTTTTTACCATTCAACGAAAAAAAAAAAAAGAAAAAGAAAAATTCTCTTCGTTTTTTGAGATTCACGAAACATCATACGATTTTAATATCAATTGGAAAATGTAATTTTCTTTCAATATATTATATTAGTCTCTCCAATATATTTTCTCAGGCGTTAAAGCACATAAGGGTTGCAGAAAAATTGGAGAAATTATTAAACGATTCAGAACGAATACGAAAATAATTCTGATTGTTCCAATGATTTAACC